ATCAATATCCACTCGTTTATCGTGTACGTCGTGAAGCTCATTGAGCCAAATTCTGGTTTGGGTTTCCACGTTTTCAATCTCTTTTGACAGCTCTTCCAGCTCTTTTTGTTGGCCTGAAAGATAAAAAAGCTAGTTGAAAATTTTCTTCTATCGTTCCTGGGTCCTGAGATATGAGTCAAGGGGTCATCTCAAGAGGAATGTTGTTCTCTGGATGATCCGGATCATCAAGCGTCATTCTAAACTTCCGTCTTATACAGAGCTTCAAACTACAATTTTTTGAAATCCGAGCAACATGCGATTATCCGTTAGCCTGTAGCTTTTTGTGCTGTGTCATAAACACAGCTAGCTGCTCCCACGTTTTTTGTCATTCTAGAAAACTAGGATCCTACAACACATATCAGATTTGGAGTTTTTTTCCAAATCAAAAAACTCAAAAGTGGGTTGAGCTAGAAAAAAGTTGTCAACTGCAAACTTTCTTGAAATTAAATTTGGAGCAAGTTTGCAGTTGACAACTTTTTTCAAGCTCCGCCCAATTTTGGGATATGGGCAGTTCTGATTCAGGAAGTTATCCCCTACCGTTAGCCTTCGCCTCGTCCAACAACCCTCTGATCTTCTTATGCTTCTCCTTCAACTCTCCGCCCGTCGCGGTCAGAATCGTCATCTGCGCCTCGTTCTGTTTCAGGTCCAAAGAGCACGCCTCGAGTTGAGCGCACAGTTTCTCGTGTCGCACCCAACCCTTCTTCATTTCTTCCTCGCCCTCATTCGGCTGAAAACATTTATCAGGATTTTGAGGAAACTACAGAGAAGCAACTTACATGTTTATAAATTGGAAGTGGCATAGTCTTTGATAGGGGCGGTTTGGACCTGGCGTGGTTTACCTGAAGGAAAGTAAAGTATGAAAAAGTGTACGACTGAAAAAAAAAGATTGCGGAAAAGAGGTAAGAAAGATTGACAAAGATTGACAAGGATCGGAAGTTTTTAAAGGTGGGTGGACCTTAGCGGGCATATTTGAGATTGATATGTTGGACATGAAGACATAGGAGGGAAAATAGTATGTGAGCTGAAAATAATCAAGTTCAGCCAAGGACTAAGACGGCTGGGAGACTTAAATAGGCCGTCAATGCATACTTTTCATGAGCCGCATGGTTCGCCAGTTACCGCGAAATTAGAATTTCTTCAAGATTGGAAAATGAGCCAATTTTTGCCTATTTTAATTCTCAAAAATTTTGTCCAGTGCGGGCCGGACTCTAAAAATTTCCATACGGCCCGGCCCGGAAATGCGGGCTTTGGCGGGCCCAGCCCAGATTTCACAAGTATGAAAAATACTACGCAGACAAAAAACAAAAAAAGAAAAAAACAAAATTCAGCCAGGAGGGGTCGAACCTGACTACCTGCCTCAGGCTGGATCATTGGGCAAAACGTTTATTCACTAGGACACCGCGCACACTAAAACAAGCTTGTGATAAGTCAAACAAGACAGTAGTTGATAAGCTGAAGACACTGTTTTCTATAAAGTCTGTGAAAAAGCAGGCTGTGAGAGAACAGTGTACCAAACCACACTATACCTATCCTGGATGTTTTTGCACACAACTCCCTGAGCCGCCCTTTCCTGGAGAGACGTTTCCGGAGATTATGTATATGGTGATTGAGAGGTACGGAGAGACAATTATCATGTTTTTTCCTACGATAGAGTAATTATTGAGATGGATTATTCAGAAGATCAAAAATCAACAATGAGAATCTTCAAAAACTGCACGCCTGAACAACTATGCTTCTTGAACCCATCAAATTTGGTCTCTAATGAAGTTTGAAATGGTGAAAACATACAAAAAAACGTAATGAAATTGGCAGGGAATTTCGGAAGAAGTTGGCATTAGAGTGGGGGCGAGTTCAATTTGTGAATTGCATTAGCTTTTTGGACTCGGTGCAAAAATTGTTAGGGGTTTTAGCGGAGCAGGAACTGATGCGGGGCTCCACGTTCTGGAAGTTTTCGAGACAAGGTTGGATCGAAAAAGTGGCCGGCCACAGTAGGAAAATTGCCTTTCAATAGTTTTTATGACCGTTAGGGGTAAAAATAACCAGATAATTGTTAAGACTCATTATCTGAGAAACTCGACTATTGGCCTACATAGGGTGTTCACAAAAACGCAAAGTTTGTCCGATCAGTCTGATATTTTATGTACTTATACTATGACATGTCCTTATTCCAAAAAACAACTTTTGGTCTGGCTCCGCCCCCTTGGTCTCTAGAAAAATCGATAATTGGGAAATTTTGAAAAAATTTTCTTGTAAGAGATAGAGCTTCAATTCAACCGGAAATGAATTTCTAGCATTTTTCTGAGCATTTTTCATGTTGACATCAAATTTCTATCACCACTCCTTCGTAGTGAAATTTTGGGTCAAAAGTAAAAATTTTCAATTTTTGATGAAAATTCGATTGGTTCGGTATCAGGGGTACCTAGATGTGAATTTTTTATTTTTGCATATGAATCTACGCAAAATTTAGGTCCGGAACGGACACTTTTCGAGTCTGATATCCTTGCCCAAAGGAGTGTCCTATACCTAAATATATGAAAAATCTGCGAAATTCCATGTGTCCCATGATAAAAATTCCATGTACCCATGATAAAAAAGTCAAAATCACGGATTGGGCTTATATTTCATATTTAAGTGGCCTATGTCAAAATAAACTACTCACAACTTATTAGCCGTCTCCTTTCATTTTTGTTCGTGTGGCATGACCTTGAATATTTGTAGCACCAAAAAACTTTGAAAGACCACAACTCTGAAAATTTTGGACCGAATTGGCTGTTCGATAGCTAAAAATGCTTCAAATTGCATAGTGTGAACTTGTGGCTTTGCTACAACTGCATATATCTGCTAGTATACACTAACAGTACCAAGCAATATTGATGAATGGACTTGTTGAGCACACACCTTAGCCGAATTAATAATTTCACACTTTCTCGATGTGATGTGTCAACAACAAGTATAGGATTTTCAATTCATGCAACTTTAAGCATTTTTAGCTATTGAACAGCCAATTCGGTCCAAAATTTTCAGAGTTGTGGTCTTTCAAAGTTTTTTGGTGCTACAAATATTCAAGGTCATGCCACACGAACAAAAATGAAAGGAGACGGCTAATAAGTTGTGAGTAGTTTATTTTGACATAGGACAACTCAAATATGAAATATAAGCCCAATCCGTGATTTTGACTTTTTTATCATGGGTAGGTACACATGGAATTTCGCAGATTTTTCATATATTTAGGTATAGGACACTCCTTTGGGCAAGGATATCAGACTCGAAAAGTGTCCGTTCCGGACCTAAATTTTGCGTAGATTCATATGCAAAAATAAAAAATTCACATCTAGGTACCCCTGATACCGAACCAATCGAATTTTCATCAAAAATTGAAAATTTTTACTTTTGACCCAAAATTTCACTAGGAAGGAGTGGTGATAGAAATTTGATGTCAACATGAAAAATGCTAAGAAAGATGCTAGGAATTCATTTCCGGTTGAATTGAAGCTCTGTCTCTCACAAGAAAAATTTTTCAAAATTTCCCAATTATCGATTTTTCTCCGGATCAAGGGGGCGGGGCCAGACCAAAAGTTGTTTTTTGGAATAAGGACATGTCATAGTATAAGTACATATAATATCAGACTGATCGGACAAACTTTGCGTTTTTGTGAACACTGTTGTTCGGGTTTCTCAGATAATGAGTCTTAAGCCATAAAACGTCCTTGTCCGGTCTGGGTAGGTCGTAAAGGTAACGAGGTTATTATACACCGTTTGATGTCATATGTACAGAAATAGATTTGGCTACATACTTGTGACGGGCTGGGCCGGGCCTTCCCACCAATTTCCAAGGGGCCAAGGCCCGGCCCAAAAAATTTTCGCGAGTTTTGAAAAATAGAAAAAAATCCAAGTTTCGTGCTCGAGGGTTATATTGAGCATAAAAACAGTAGTCTGTGTTTTTTTTATAAAAAAAAGCAAACTTTTTTAATCCGGTCCGGGCTTTGAAAAATGTCGGCCCGGCCCTCCGGACCTCCGGGTCTTGCCGGACCGGGCCGAAATTTCACAAGTATGCATGACCAGGATTGTTAGAAAGCCAAGCTAGATATAGAAACAGTTGCGGCCAAAAAAAGCCCGATTTGACAGCCCTGGACTTGACCTAAACTCAAACTTTCGAAATTCTTATCTCTCCCAAAAAAAGGCAAGTGTTCGCCTTGCACAACATGGCACCACTTCCTCGAGCAGCCACAGCAAAAAGTGCAAGTGTCCACCCCGTCTCTCTGTTTCCAATCGACTCAAATGGGTTAGAAATGGCAAAAAGCGACTGAAAGGCTGGCGCCGGATATGCTCCCCGAGAGACTCGTTCTCCAGATATACTCTCTCTCTTCTTTTTTTGGGACAGATTGGTTTCGATGTCTAATTGGTTTGTACTAGATTTAGTCGGGAGATTTCGTGTTAAGAGATTTCATAGCTAAGGATAGGTTACAGGAAAAAAAGGTCTGCAGGTATCAAGAATCCTTGAATCCAATCTGACCAATGCTTTCAAACTAAATACAACTTTACCTAGACAATAGACTCCCCTTTCCGCTTCTCAATCCCATTTTTCGTAAAAGGTGGCCCCAAGTACTTCCTCCTTTCGTCCTTCTAGTATCTTAGGGTGTCACCTACCACACCTGGTTATTATACTTACTAGTACTTTCACCTACTTTTTTAGTATAGTAGTCGGAGACAAGAACAAAAAGCAAGTAAAAAAAGATAGACAAAGAAAAAAATCAAGAAGCGAGTAAGAAAAAAAAAACAAGTGGCGCGGGAAGGGGGAGCAAATAGGCCCATAAATTTTGCGGTATTATTTAGTGTCTGGCAGGATTTTAGGATTTTAGAGTTTTGGTAACACCTTCGGAATTTATATTAGCATGGGTATCTCCTTGCAAAGCCAGGAACACCGCGCGAACTTTAGCGCCTTGAACACTAGTACAAGTTCGTAACGGGTGGCCTAGTGGCTAACGCTCCCGTTTTTGAAGCGACTATCCCGGGTTCGAACCCCAGTTAGGTAAAATCTTTTTTTTTTTAAATTTTTTAAAACGCTCTAGCTTCATAGCCCTAGGCACTCCTATGCCTTGCCACCTAGGCTAAAGAGAAAAAAAACGAGAAATCATTAGAGCATAGCCAGAGGGGAGGAGAACCCGATGAAACATATTTTGTCAAAAAGAAGGGGAAGCAGCGGTGGAAGACGACGAAAAGAAAAAAGAGAAGAAAATGGGAGAAGAGCAATATGGACGTGCTCTTTTTTTTCTCGTTTTGCTCTGAACAAAATTGGGTTGGAGATGGAAACAAAATGTTGGAAGATGGTGGTGATGGTGGTGGAGGAGGATGAGGAGGAGGAGGCGAAAAGAGGATAAGATGTGCAAAATGTTTCAGTCAACAATGAAATGATGATGACGATGAATCATGCTGCTGCTGGAGACGGGTTTAATGAAAATTCTGCAGATGTAGAAAGTGTAGGACAAGAAAGAAGGCGGTGAAGATGAAAAAGAACACCTTGACAAGTGATTTGACAACTTGTTTTTTGTGGAGGAGGAGGAACACGAAGAACACGAACAAATTGACAAGATGGATAGGAGAGAACAAGCACAAAAAACAATAAACTAACACTATTACAGCTCGGTGTCAGGTTTTATTGGGTTTGGTTTCTGATCCAAATTACTTTTCTTTCAGGTGGGAACTGTTGAGGAGCACCTAGAAATCAAAAGAAAAAAAAACAAAATAAAATTAACCACCCTGGGGTCGAACCCATGAACCTTGGATTGAAAGGCAAAAGTGTTATCCACTAGGCCAGCAACGAACTGGTGGGAAAGGAACAGAGAGAGACAAGAAAGAGAAGCTTCCCCTTAAGTAACATAAGGGGGAGAAGAAGTTCTCAAGAATTCATATTTTTACCGATCAGCCAGGTGTACGACGGAGCAGACTTGCAAAACGTAAGACAAGAAGTATAAAACGTGAAAAACAGAAAGAATCTGACCAAGCCGATCACCGAAACCAAGAAAAAAAGAGAAAAAGATCCGCCGCAAAAACAAAGGTGATAAAATGATATAGGAGAATCTCTTAATCAATTTCTCTAACACTCTCCTAATTTCATACACTCTCTCACCTTCTCCCTACTCTTTGACCTTCTCCACATTCTGATTTATGTGAGTTCTCGTTGTGGTGAAAAGGAGAAAATATTCTCGCCTTGGAGAGAAAAAAAGGGAAAAATTGGTTAAGCCTCTTCGCCTAAGACGACTAAAAGGGATGAATTATTAGTCAAGAAATCGTGCATTTTTTTGCATTTTTGCATTTTCGCCCCAGGCTAAGGAGAGATGGGCGGGGCCTAGCTGAAGAGATGAGGAGAAGATGTTTTGCATGGTAATGGACTCTTAGGTTGGAAATAGAACGCTGATGTAAGAGACCCAGACAGTTGTACTTCTCTTTTTTATGACTTTTACAAGGATACGAATTAGACGGGGTGAGAAGGAAGGTGGGTGTCAGGAGGAACAAAACATGAAAATTAATGGGGCCACTGACTTTTTTTTTGACTTCAAAGGCGAAAAAATTCAAAAATTGCAAAAAACATTCAAACTTCCATACGTTCAAGTGTTCAAGTATCCCGCCCACTTGACTATATAGGAAGTTTTTTTTTGCGAAGAAAAAATCCAATTTATTTTTTTTTCTGTCGCTTCGAGAGCTCGTCAAGAGTGTCCTACTGTACGTCATATTCAAATTTTATGGAAATTTTTTTTTACGTATTCGAGAATGATCATGACGAGAAATGTGGGGGGAGAGAAAGAATAAAATTATGATCGTAAAACGTTCAAAATGGGATTATGGAGAGAGAAAAAAGAACAAAAACAAAAACCACAGGGTGGGATCGAACCTAGCCATGGCGGAACCAAGGGCAAAAGTTTAACCTACAAGGCCATCGCTTCCACTGAAGGCAGCAGGCGAGAGGGCATATAGGAAACTATAAGGAAGCAAGGAGGAGGGAGGGACTCGCTGGAAACACCTATAACCTAATCAAGAACAAAATTAGGAAAAGTTCCAAAAAAAAACTAAAAAATTCGTATAGCTGCTAAAAGCCTAATGACGTCAGAGTGGTCACAAAAACGCATCCCTTTTCGACTTCTTCATTAGGAACAAAATCACTCGAAAATTCCGTACCAAAACTCTTTCTGTTCTCTGTGCTGCAAACTTCTTTTTTTTCTCGCTTCTTCTTCTCTTTTCCTCATTTCTTCATGTGCAACAAAAAGTGAATTAAGAGGAGAGAAGAGAGCATCTTCTTCTTCTCTCGTTCTTCTTCTTTCATTTCTTTCAAGTTGCAATTAAATCGAATGAGAATAGTGTGAGTGATTGGGTGGAGACGCCAGACATGTACAATTAGTGATGAGTAGGAAGGAGGAGAAGCTTTTAGGAGTCGAAAGAAGGATGTGTTGGGATGATGGAATGGGAGGATGGGAAGATGATGGATATCAAGGAACTTTTACTGGAGGGACTAGCTGGGATGGTGGAATTACTTGTTTCAGAGGCGGTATGCTGAATCAGAGCACATCTCAAAAGTAGGCGGAGCTAGAAAAAAGTTGTCAACTGCAAACTTTCTTAAAATTAAATTTGGAACAAGTTTGCAGTTGACAACTTTTTTTTAGGTCCGCCCACTTTCGAGATATGGGACAGTTCTGTTTCAGCATACCGCCGTTTCAGAAATTCAGAGTCTTGGAACATTCCGATTCTCCAACTTTCGGAAATTAGGATTTTCAGAATTTTTGTAATTCCGAATCCCGTTCCGCACATCCCTGCAGGTATAGTACTCCTAGACCCGACAAGACCAAAACCCGATGAAATCGGATAAGCCGTTGAAAAATGTGTGGTCAAAAAGTAGTAGTCTAGTAGTGGAAAAAAGAAAGAGACGACAACAAAAAAACTGGGCAGGTGTCAAATTTCCAACAAAAGTAGTGAAGTGTAAAAATGACGTGTACACTGATAACCTGCACGTCTTATTTAAGCTGGATTGGACTACTGTAGTTTATGGAAATTTTTGAAAGTTATTGCGTATTCGAGGATTTTCATGACGAGAAATAAAGGATAGGAAAATAAAATTATGATCGTAAAACGTTCAAAATGGGATAGGAGAGAAAATTTGCATAGTGCATAGAGAAACAAGTTTCGTACAGCTGAAAATGCAAAAATCAAAAAATACGGCGGTATGCTGAATCAGAATTTCTTCCAAATCTGACATCTCAAAAGTGAGCAGAGCTAGAAAAAAGTTGTCAACTGCAAACTTTCTTAAAATTAAATTTGGAACAAGTTTTCAGTTGACAACTTTTTTCTAGCTCCGCCCATTTTAGAGATATCGGACAGTTTTCATTCGGGAAGCCCTCCCGGGAAGTTCTGATTTAGCACACCGCCAAAAATACGCATTCGAAAATGAAATAGAATGAGGAACCAAGGAAATTGAAACCAAGATTCAATGGGTGGAGCGTTCCTTTATCAGAAGGATCAAAGGACAATAGCTCCATCTGCCAGCTATCTGAGCTCATGCCAGTTCCCCGTTCTGGTCGAACGTAGACCATGTACGGTAGGGCGCGATTACCTTGTCTCAAAAATTGAAAACCCTTCGAACTTGTTCCAAAAAAAGGGATGAACGAAAAAATTGAAAAATAAAATTTTGGGCCCATCACCCTTACACCGCTCCGCCCAAACCTTATTACGAAGACTCCGAAGAACACTGACAACTTTCTTGGACAAAAATGGCACAAAGAGGGATAGGGGGGGGGGGAAGCGAAACCGATAAAATCTTTCTTGGGGACACGAATTCTTGGGGCGTGGTGCTCTTTTCTTGTCTTGTCTTCTTTTCTCTTCTTTGCCCATTGAAACATTCTTGTCCATCCATTTTTATCGTGGAGCAGTTAACAAGAAAAGACGAGCCACATTTTTAAAAAGGAAATAGTATAGAAGAAAAAGAGTCGGTTTTTATTTCTTTTTTGCTTTTCGAAAACTTTTTGGAACGAAATTCGTTTGACGGGATTAGCGGAGCACTCTCTGATGACTGATTGCAGAAGATTTAGAGCCACAAAGAGTAGAGAATATATATGAAAAAGTGGGTGTGAAGAAGGTCGATGGAGATTAGTTTTCGAAATGTGTGACAGGTTCAAAATTTTGCAAACTTTGGAGGGTGAAAGGTAGTACGGTAGTTTCAGTTTTCTGCAATCCGACGTGGTGGTGTGCACGGCGGTGCGCTTGCAGACTGTGCACTTTAATTGACGACACACGCTTTTTTGGTGCTACCCCTCATCAGTTCTGTAGGGCCAAACGGGTCCGTTCTGCCCGGATAGGCCGGAATCGGCCCGAATTAGTCCGAATTGGCATGATTGGTCTAAATTGACCCGAATCGTCCAAATTCGGAATCGGTATAGACGGTCTAAACCGGCCCAGTTTGGTCCAGACGTCCTATATCGGCCCAATTCGGTCCTGACGGCCTGAATCGGCCCAATTCGGTCCAGACGGTCTAAATCGGCCCAATTCGGTCCTGACGGCCTGAATCGGCCCAATTCGGTCCAGACAGCCTAAATCGGCCCAATTTGGTCCAGACGACCTAAATTGGCCCACATCGGTCCGAACAGCCGGAATCAGACCCATGCGGCACGAATAAGCCAAAATTGGTCCCAAAGGCTTAAAACGCCCAGACGGCCCAGATCGGCCTAAATCGGCCCAATTTGGTCCAGACGGTCTAAATCGGCCCAATTTGGTCCAGACGGCCTAAATCGGCCCAATTTGGTCCGAACGGCCAAAATCGGCCCGAATCGACCTGAATCTGTCCAGACGGCCCAAATCGGCCTGAATCTGCCCAGACGGCCAAAATCGGCCCCATTCGGTCCAGATTCGCCCTGTTTGACCCGACAGTTCGACCCGACACCAAAACGGCCATTTTGGTCAACTTGAACATATTCGGGCTGATTTGAGCCGTTTGGGCCTTTTTGGGCCAATTCATTTTTTTCCCTTACGGCCCAGGACTAGGAATCTGGAA